TAAGAACAAAGTCATTTATGATAGAAAATTTCTTCCGATTGAGTTTCAAGTCAGTGACTTTGTCCTTTACGAGACACCATGGCATCCCAACAACGGCAAACTGAGTTCCGTCATGGAAGGACCCTACAAGATTCTACGCAAGGTCTCAACAGTGAACTATGAGATCAACCGCTCCGTGCTACCCTTACGTAGAAACTCTGACATTGTGCATGTTAGCAAACTGCGGCGTTATTTTTAGCCTTCTGAACTAAGACTTTCTCGAGGGGAGGGGAAAGTGTGATGCATTCACAAGGTGATTCTAGGAGAAGCCGACGAAGACGAAGAGGAAGTGCGCGTATATATATATATATATATATATATATATATATATATATATATATATATATATATATATATATATATATATATATATATATTCATCAGGCCTGGCACAGAACACATTCACTTCTTTCTCGTTTACTCCACTTCAACGAAAGTCCCGTATCATTTCCCCCGTTGCAGATGATGCCCAATTGGCGAGTTGGTGTCGCGCGTAGTATGGCTTTAACCGGGCGACATGTACGACGTCAGTTTTCCTGGAGCGATGGCCAGAATATGTGAGGCGTGCTATCTCGTACGTAGCGTCGCTAAGGTGCAAAAAACTACGAAGAGACCTGTATAGCGGACCAGAAACTTTTGATACAAACCGCTCTTGTGATTTGGAGTCCACATCCACATCATATCACCTTCGCTATAAGGCACATTTCGATGTCGCTTATCATAGCGAGCCTTTGAACGGTCTTGGACTGCGAAAGTCCGGAGACGCGGGATGCGCCGTGCCTCCTCTGCGCGACAGAGTGTCTCTGCAAGGGATGAGTTTTCTTGCTCTGAAAATGGGAGAATCGGGTCAAAGGTAGTACGTGACTCACGGATGTAGAGAAGGTAAAACGGGCAGGGGGTCTTTTGTAGCGCAGTGTTGTAGGCGTAGGTCATAAACGGTAAAACGTCGTCCCAGTTTTTATGGTTCGAATCAACGTACATAGCGAGCATGTTAATGAGCGTCATGTTTACACGCTCAGTCAAACCGTTGGTCTGTGGATGGTACGAACTGGCGTGACGAAACTTGGAAGCGGACCGGCGAATCAACTCTCGGTACCCTCGGTGCTCATCTTGCTGGCGCTTGCGTCAAAAGCGTCAAATGTGACCACGATAGCCGCAATAATAGCACGTAGGGCGAGTCGATCGATAAGGAGGGTAGTAGTTTGTGTTAGATGCACCGGGAGAGAGAGCAGTGAGAGGGACAGATGATGGCTCTGGCGGTGGTGATGGAAAGCTCGTGGGAAAGCTTCTGGTAGGTGCGGCAGCAACCGACGCGTACGTTGGTGGCGGCGACGTCGAGCTGACGGTGCCTGATGGTGCGGCGACGGCATGGGAGAACGATGGGAGAGTACGAGGGACAATGGGCTGCAGGTGGGCCATGTGGGTCATGTACGTGAGCTCCTCCCTGATGACATCACGAAATGACGTTGAAAAAGACTGAATGGGACACACTGAAGGTAGTGTGAATCCCATTGATTCTAATTCTTCGCGTATAATCACCCTTATTGTGTCTCGTAGGTTTGGATCCACCGTAATACGGGCCGCGTCACTGTCCAGTTGTAGGCGCATAGACTCAAGTTCTTCGAGGTGCTGACAGGTTGTCGCAACGTCAGCAACGGTAGCCGGATTCTGGATTGCAAGGGCATTGAATGCGACGCGTGCAATCTCCTTAAGAAGCTGGCGCACCTTGTCTGACTCTTTCATTGGGGTTTCAACCCGGCGGCTAAGTGAAAGGACATCCTCGATGTAGGATGTATACGACTCCCCGATGTGCTGTTTCCGAGCCGCGAGAGCTTTCTTTGTGAGAGCTGAACGAACAGCCGGTGTGCCAAAGACATGGCGAAGCTGATATTTGAAGGCTGACCAGTCGGGGATGTCGATGAAGTGGTTGAGGAACCAGGTCTTCGCGACGCCCGTGAGGTAGAATGACACGTAAGCGAGTTTGTAGGTGTTATCCCACCGGTTAGCATCGCCGACACGTTCGAAATCGTCCAGCCATTCCTCCACATCTTCCCCGCGCATACCAGCGAAGGGATGGGGCTCATGCTGGGGGCTGTTAATGACGTGAAAAGGCGCGGCACGCGGTGGCGGAGTGGGAACGGCTGCAGCACCGACCTCTCCTTGGTGCGACATATTTCCGGACACCTGTCCCAAGCGGCGACCTGAACGTAGCTCCAGGGGGTAGAGTGGTCGAGAGGATGACGGGGTATCTAACAGCACGCTCCACCAGGTATGAAGTCTTGGTTTGGGAGACCTTTATTAGGCCCGAGGAACCGGCAGCCGACAGCTGAGACGAACGAACCAAGATGATGATGCTACGTGACAACGATGAGAATGCATGAGCAACACATGATAATGATGATAATGTACAGATGAAGAGGATAGGTATGCTAAATGCCCACAGTATACCCTAAAAATTAAATTACGAAAAAAATTCGTTGTGTAGGGGTTTCAGATTCCCTTCCTCTTCCCTCTTTATTACGGCCTCCTGGTTCTATGTGCGTTTGACATGGTATATCTTTTTTTTTTCATCTCACAGCTTTCTGAGCACAGCTAACTTTATAAATCGGCTCAGCTATTCTTAATATTGTAGATGCCTGCCCAACGAGAAAAGAGTTAAGACAGAAGAAATCTCACTAAGAGACGCCTTTTTAAAATAGCTTTTCATCCCTCACAAGGGCTTCTATGGAACTCTAAATCAGCAGATTGGTGCGTCATACTTTAAGAGTTATGACATCATGTGCTAGACATGAATGATGGGCAGGTACGAAGAAATCTGCATCAAAAAAGCGCACCAGAGAAGCTGAAGCTCATAGCAGTTGCTGCACGCGGCCTTTTCAGCACTATTTGACTGCAGCGCCGCCGCTACGGGCAACACGGAAGGTCTTAGGCTAGGATAAATATAATGGGGAGTTGTGATGAGCGCAGCGCTTTTTGCTTGCCGGAGAAGGCTCTTCGGCGTGCCGATGCCGCTTGGGGCGCTGATGGCAGCGGCGTGGGTAGTGAGTGGTGCACTTCGCAGAGTTTTTCTCGGGTGCGCTGCTTTTTTTTTTTTTTCATAAGCGGTAGCTGCTTTACAAGTACTTTGTCAATCGGTGATTACGCTGGGTTACTCTGAAATGCCTGAAGGCGTCAACGACAAAAAAAAAGTAGATCCAGCGTCGCTGCACTATGCTTGTCCGCAAAACTTAATGCTTCAGTTCAGCCTCTTGAAGAGTCCCAAGGGTGGCAACCGAGTCACAAATTGACAAAGCAGCAATAGACGACAGACATTCATACATGTAGAATAAAAATAAACTTTACAAATATAAAAGGACACCAATTACGAATTCAAAAGGTATGAAACAAAGCTCCAGAAATAGAGAGCGATAGAATACGTATGTATCTATAAAAGGACACCAATTACGAATTCAAAAGGTATGAAACAAAGCTCCAGAAATAGAGAGCGATAGAATACGTATGTATCATGACTCAGCATGAACATTAAAAGCAAAAATCAATGAGTGACCGAAATTCCGGGAGATCTACTATTCGGGAAAGTGAATTAGCTGGGTGAAACATCTATCATGACGATTTTGATTATTTAAAATTACATATATCTACAGCGCTATATTTCGGAATTATTCGCAAGAAATAACTACACATAATAATATATTCAAGTCTAAGAAATCATCAGAATGAAAACTATACACTGATACACAGAGACATCACAGTAAAAGATACAATAGAGTAATAGGAACTCTTAAATAATTGCGCAAGACAGCCAATCGTAACGAAGTTTCTTGCAATATTTAAATAGATTCATAGGAAGTTTTCAATGGTAGAAGAAAAGACAAAGTGTCAATGTCTTCGTGGTTTAAGGTGGTTAATAGGTAAAGTAGCCTGTAGGACAATGCTCATCCTAAATACTGTAAAATCGACATTTATTTCTTCGTGCCTAGTGAGACAAACACTTGAGTTTACGTTTATCTTAGCAAGATAATTATGGCACTACAACCATGTTTAACGAATGCTTTATGACATGTCAATATAAATACGTGGTTTATTAAAATGATATTCTGGCTTCTGCAGCGCGGGCGCATTGATTCAAACTTCTGTTCTTGGAGTATAATCGACAAAGTGCCCCAGGTGGTCTAAATTTCCGGAGCCCTCCACTACGGCGTCTCTCGTAATCATATGGTAGTTTTCGGATGTTAAAATAAACATATCAAGGCCTTTTCAAGAATGGTTTTCAGAGATAAGACTTTAAAGAGCTTAGGTGCCATGTAGTGCCCTGCACTTGCTCGATAAAAATGATTTTACCGAAAACGGGTCACCACCACACAGCGTTGGAGCAATTTTTTTGTGGAGAGCAGCGCGTGCTGTCTCGTTCCTCTCCTCCACAATGTTACCCGCGCCGGTGCATGCAGTGCTCCAAGCGGCGTCGGCGCGCTTTGGGGACCGGTTTCGGTGGCCGCTTTTCACACCTCTCCTAACCACCCTAGTCTCGTGCGTCAGCGTGCCGTGGCAACGCTTCCTAGATTTCTTGTGCCTGCCGAATAAGCGCGAAACGCCTGTCATCTATAGCGGCGCTGCCTACGTAGGAAGTAAGGGTTTTTGTCTTGGCCAACGTTGGTCTTGGCCTTTGAGATTGGTAATTTTGGCGTTTGCAACTAATTTTAAAAGATGCCTTGTATTGAAAAATTTGCCTGCTGATTGACGACGTCACTTACGTAGAGTTAATTACAATTATGTTTACGCTTCAAAAAATTTTTACGTCATTTTTTGCATATGGGCTCCAAAAACATAAAAACTTTTTGAAGACATTCCTACTTGAGTAGCGCCACCACCGTAGTTCCAACGACCGCCGCTTTTCAAGTGACCACCGATAATCCGGCAGGCAGAAGAAATCTAGGAGGTGTTGGCCGTGGGGACCTCCGTCCTCCCGCCCGCACAGCATGCGGCCCAGCGCAGTAGTTTCATTGGCGTTGTGCAAAAGGAAACTGCGAGCAACAGCACAAAGAAAGGAGAGCGCGTGAAAAAAGAAGGAAAAGGAAGTTGCCGCCTCGCCAACGGCGCGGCAGTTTCCGAACGTGGCGCGCTCGATCGCAGGCGGCAGGGTGGCACAGCGAAGGGATATGGCGGCTGCTGCGCCCAGCCGACGACGACGAATCTAGTAAAGCCCTTCTCAGCGCGAACCACTCCTATTATCTGCGGCCGTCGCCAACGCAGCCCGAAAGAAAAACGAAACCGCCCCGCGGCGTCGCTCGCAACAGCAAAGGCAGCCTCGCGCGACGCCGGGAAGAAAACGCGACGACGGACGGCTCCGACACGCAAGCCCACGGAGGCACCCAAACAACGACGACCTTCTGAAATCGGTGAGTGGCGCTTTGCTCGTGTCTCCAATACACGAGTCTGATGTTGTAGTACGTCCGTTATACGCTTTATCATCGCTATGAGTGCCGCACACGGAACGCCGCATCCCAAAGGAGGGAGGGGTCGCAATGGCGAAGATGCTCTCACCCTTCTCTTTTTTTTTTCTTTCGCCTTTTTGCTTTTAGACGTCCTGTGCCCTTTTGGGAACGACGACGGGCAGAAGTGCTGGAGCGAGGATTTTTGTTGGCACGACGATGTCCGCTGGTTTTCGCAATTGTTTGTAACTGCCTGCGTTTCAACCGCTAGATGCGCGTATAAAGGCGTTTAGCGCATGAATTTCTTGAACGAACATACAGTGGCGACAAGCGCCCAATCGACACTTTTCTGTCGCATTTCACACAGAAATCCCTGAATGCGGAATGTAAAAAGACGATGCTGTTGTGATCTTCGGGATGGTTTTATTCGTTCATATGACGCGCTTGTAGGTGGGATGGTGAATCAAATGCGTTGCGAAGAGCGCGACGGCATTGAGCGTATCGCGCGTGGGTGCGCCGAAATTTCGGAATTGTTACAACTGTACGGCTTTCAAAGCTTGTGCGGCAATACCTGAGTCGCACTTTTATGGTGGTTGGTCGGTTAACCAAGCCAGCATCCCGGTCAGGAAATAAAAGAAACAATGGAATGTATGCAGCACATGTTTGCAAAGCAGCTGTAGCCCTCTCGACAACATGGATTTTTGTACTGTCGCGGATAGGTGGCTAAAGTTGCGCAAGTTGTTCCTCTTGTTTGCGTGAATAGTAAATTATTTTCACGCAAATGTACACCAGCAAGCGACACTGTAAATGTTTGTAGTGACATGGCCCATACATGCCAACCGCCAAAGGTAGGTATACTGGTGACTGGTGCTGTCACACTAAGGCTGGCCCACGAGCGGAACCATTTGTGATTAAGTTCTTCGACGTACAGGTGCGACCAAAAGTATGCAGACCGCGGGATCGCGTGGCAGAATGCATCGGCGCGCCAGCTAGCGACGAGACATGACGAAACACCTGCTGCAAGGGCGCATGCGCGTCCCGTCTTATAATCATGTCGCTCTGTTGGACGCGGTTGGGCGCTCGTACCCAAAACGACAACTGGGTGTCGCTTTTTTTTCTCCATCGAATCTGTGCCACTCTTCACGTAGCGGCTTGGACGGGGCTGGTTCAAGCACCGGCTTGCGTTGTTATTAACGCCGGTTGATTAAGATAAGTAAGCATAGCGAGCATCGCACAACCTGAAGCCAAACGCACAAAATAAATTTTTTTCAGGCCAGTTTGCCTTTTGTCGGGCTAATCCAAGTTGCACTTAAATGAGCTTAGTTAAGTCAAAGTTAATGTAGCCAAAATTAATCAAATGTAGTCGAGCACTTTATGACCTAGATAAGTAAGGTTTAAGTAGGTTTAGTTAAGCCCAGTGCAGCTTAGTGTTTTCATGTTAAGCGAAGTTAAGCTTAGGTAAGCCCAGATGAGTGAAATAAGTATAGCCAAATGTAATTAGCCAAAGTTGATCATGCTCATTCATAACCTAGCTGTGCAAAATAAGCATATACAAGGCGAACCTTATCGTGGCCAATTAATCTAGGGCGACTTTCCTATGAGCCCACAGAAGTTCAGGCCAGGAAGATGCAAATGACTATTTACTGACTCCGTACTAATTAGTTTAAATTAAATCTAGTTACCACTAAGTAATAATAATACTAATCATGGCTGAATATTGGTCTGAAATCCATTTAAAGTATCCTCAATACTAGAATTTCATGTGACCTAATTGGGCTAAATATGCATAAATAATCTATTTAGGCAAACACCAAGGTAATTATAACAACTTTGACTAAGCTTGGTTGGTCATAGCATCATCAAACCAATTAAAATATGATTAGGCAACATCCTATTTAAACACAAATAATTAACATAATTGAAGTCGAATTCTTATGAGCTCAGAGAATCCAAGCTCGGCAAGATGGTGATTACTCCTGACCGAGTTGAGTCTCGTTTACCTAAATATACATCAAATTAGTCTTGACATTATTGAATAATGTGCGTGACATCAAGGCCCATCCAAAGTAGCTGAGTATGATGTCGCATAATTATGCAAATTACGCCTAGTTACACCTAATATAGATCGTGGTAAAGTTGGACTTGCTACGAAACCATTAACCCCACTGTGACTTTGCCTCGCGCCTCTAGTGCAAGCTGCCCACGTTTTTTTTTTCTTTGTTCATCGCATGGCGCACTGCTTTATGTCGAAGATTGTAACGGCGGCTGTCGGTCGTCTGTTGATTCTTGATACGGAGACGCGCAAGTTGTCGGGCTTCTTCGGCGCGATGAAGGTACTCGCTCACATCGAGGTTTTCTTCGTCGGTGACGTTGGGTAACATGGCATCGAGCGTCGTTGCCGGGCTCCTTCCGTAGACCAATTTGTATGGAGATATCTGCGTCGTCTCCTGCATCGCCGTGTTGTATGCGAAGGTCACATACGGAAGAATGGCGTCCCACGTCTTGTGTTCGACATCGATGTACATTGACAGCATGTCGACGATCGTCTTGTTAAGCCGCTCGGTGAGGCCGTTGGTCTGTGGGTGGTACGCTGTCGTCCGGCAGTGGTTTGTTTGGCTGTATGCCAAGATCGCTTGAGTTAAGTCGGCAGTGAATGCAGTTCCTCTGTCGGTGATAAGGACCTCCGAGGCGCCGTGACGTAGGACGATATTTTCGACGAAGAACTTAGCTACCTCGGATGCGCTGCCTTTTGGCAGGGCTTTTGTCTCGGCGTAGCGGGTGAGGTAGTCAGTCGGTAGCTGCCACGATCCATTTGTTTCTGAAAGGTGACGTCGAGAACGGCCCCTGTAGGTTCATACCAATCTGCTGGAAAAGTCGGCGAGGTGGTTCAATTGGCTGCAAAATTCCCGCTGGCTTTGTCGGTGGTGTCTAGCGCCGCTGACAGTCCCGGCATGTCCTCACATAACGAGTGACGTCAGGTGTAAGACGAGGCCAATAGTACCTTTCTTGTATCCTTGCGAGCGTGCGAGAAACACCGAGTTGCCCTGCTGTCGGATCGTCGTGCAGGGCCTGCAGGAGTTCTGGTCGTAGAGCTGAAGGCACCACAAGGAGGTACTTGGCTCGAAACGTTGAAAATTTTTTCTTTTGGAGAAGACCGTTTCGCAGGAAGAACGACGTAAGTGCGCGCATGAATACCTTTGGGACTTCGGTGGTCCTGCCTTCGAGGTATTCTATTAAGGCCTTAAGTTCCGGGTCCGCCCGCTGTCGTTCAGCGAAGTCGTCGGTAGTTATTGTTCCGTCATCCGAGTCGTCAGGTTGTGGTTGGTCGACAGGTGCACGAGAGAGACAGTCGGCGTCGGAGTGTTTTTTGCTGGACTTGTAAACGACGATAATGTCATATTCTTGAAGTCTCAGGCTCCATCGTGCGAGGCGACCTGAAGGGTCCTTCAAGGTGGCTAGCCAACACAAGGCGTGGTGGTCGCTCACAACTTTGAAGGGCCTGCTGTAGAGGTAGGGACGAAATTTCGACGTAGCCCAGATGATGCCGAGGCACTCCTTTTCTGTTGTTGAATAATTGGCTTCTGCTTTGGGTAGCGATCGGCTGGCTTAACTAATAACCCTTTCAAGTCCGTCAGCCCTCTGCACAAGAATGGCGCATGGACCTACGCTGCTTGCGTCAGTGTGTATTTCTGTCTCTGCAAATTCGTCGAAATGGGCAAGTAACGGAGGCGTCTGGTGGAAAGCGTGTTCCTGTGGCATTTCCCACTTGTACTCCGCGTCGGCCTTGGTAAGGTTAGTGAGAGGATCGGCCATGCGGGCGAAGTTTTTCAGAAACCGCCCATAATAGGCGCACAGGCCCAAAAATTGGCGCACCGCCTTCTTGTCAGTGGGGGCAGGAAGTTGGCGATGGCGGCTGTTTTCTGTGGATCGGGACGAACTCCAGACTTGCTAATAACGTGCCCCAGAAACAAGAGCTCCTCGTACGCAAATCTGCACTTTTCTGGCGTCAGTGTAGGTCTGGACGTCTTGATGGCTTTAAATACAGCTTCAAGGCGCCGGAGATGCTCGCCGAAATTCGAGGAAAACACGATGACGTCGGCCAAGTACACAAGGCAAGTCTGCCACTTCATTCCTGCCAGTACTGTATCCATAACGCGTTGAAAAGTTGCAGGCGCTGAGCAAAGGCCGAAGGGCATCACCTTAAACTCGAAGAGGCCGTCCGGTGTTATAAACGCCGTCTTCTCTCGGTCTCTTTCGTCGACTTCGATTTGCCAATAGCCAGTATTGAGGTCCATTGACGAGAAGTACTTGGCGTTATGGAGCCGATCAAGGGCGTCGTCTATTCGTGGGAGAGGATACACGTCCTTTCTTGTGATTTTATCCAGGCGGCGATAATCGAATCGGAAACGTAGGGTCCCATCCTTTTTCTTCACTAACATCACGGGGGACGCCCATGGACTCTTGGACGGCTGGATGATGTCATCCCGCAGCATCTCATCAACTTGTCTTTTCATGGCCTCCTGTTCTCGCGTCGAAACCCTGTACGGACCCTGACGGAGTGGTCTGGCATTTTCTTCGGTTAGGATGCGATGTTTCGTGATTGGGGTCTGACGAATGTTTGATGACGATGAAAAGCAATCTTCGTACTGCAGGAGCAGGGCCTTGAGCGGTTCTTGCTTATGGTTCGGAAGTCTGGGATTGACGTTGAAAGCTGTGGGAGGGGCTTGGTTCCTCTGAGCAGGTTCCACAGAATTGGTGAAGGCGAAAGCACTGGTGGCGTCCACAGTTTCTTCGATGTATCCGACCGTTGTTCCTTTGTTCACATGTTTGTACTCGTGGCTGAAATTCGTGAACATAACCGTTGCTTTGCCTCCCCGCAGCTCTGCAATTCCTCTTGCGACGCAAATATTTCGGGTGACCAACAGATGGTGACTGCCTTTAACGACGCCTTTCAAGTCAGGTGATTT